TTTTTTTTTTTTTTTTTACTGATACTCATTTCATTTATTTTGTTTGAGATTTTGCTGAAATGCTTTGTGTTTATGACGATCGGTATTGTTATAGTTATAACTTTTGGCGAATGATTTTTTGCATGAAAAAGGCCGCATCATTTTTCTTTTTATTTCTTCTTTCTTGGTTTTGGTCTTTTATTATTCATTGGTTCGTAATCTTCCGCTTTTTTGCCCTATAACGTTTTAAATTTTTGTTATCATTATTATTATTATTTCTTGATTATTAAATCTTGTGTTTAGTTCTTCTACTGGGAGACAATCCTTTTTTCTTTCTGGAACCTAAAAGTCGAGAGGCGTCGCTGAAGGCAGCCTTTTTTTGCGTTACGTGTTTGACGGGAGTTCTCTTCTTTTGCCACTTTCTGGAATTCAATGACGATTAGCATCCCGGATTTGGAAAGTGATAACAGTGAAATAAAAGAGGATAACACTGAAGATGATAGTGGTCTGAACATTTTGCTTCCACTTTTATACTTTTATACTTTTTTTTTCGTTCACTTTGTAAGCGTCTATTTTTATATAGAAAATTAGACAGGGTAGTTTGCGTCATTAAATAAACCTGATACACAGATATTCCATAATTTTCAGTAGGTTAGTAAGCAGTCGCTATTTACTGTAGCCATTACTGTGAGGTACTTATAGATTACGCATGTTTGAGACGGCAGAAAGAAAGGAGGAGTGAAATTCAGCTTTTATATTCGTTATTCTCATGCATTTGAATTGCCCAATTTTTTTTACTAGTGCTAAAGAGGATATTTTTGTACTCTGTGATTTCTGGTGGTTTTTTCTATTTAGAACAAGGTCAGACAAAGTCAGATGCTCTCGAAACTGCTACGTCAGGTTTTTACGGTGCTTATGAAGTGAAAGAAGTAATTTTTTTGTGATTTTTTCTCTCCGAATGCGGAAAAACTTTTCTTCTAAACTTTGATGATGCTGTTGAAAGCATCTTCTATTTTCAATTCTGCCGATTTATCTACTTTAATTT